TTAAGTGGCAAAGCACTAAGAATCTTGAGTTTGAAGATTAAAGATCAGGCTGATTGGCATTGGAAATCTCAAAGTTCTTAAATGGCATGTATGTTAGGTTCGTTTTTCCATTCTCCTCTGTTTTGAAGCAAGGAGTAAGAAGAGTGTCATGAGAAAAGGAGTGGTGGTTTATTATCTTTTCCTTTGGATTGGTGGGTGGGGGTTAGTACGACTGGCTGTATCTACAAATAATCTTGTTTGCATCATGCAATCTAAATCAATTCAGTGCTAAAAATTATCTTATTAGGTGTGATAACATAGAAAACCTAGATCCGATATCTAGGTTTAACCTAATTCGTTGGTAGGCAAACAAATCCCCAATTTGTCTGACATCAAATTGATTTTTGACCCCACAAGTCCTATGTACCAAAGAAACAAGAAACAAAAACATCTATAAACTAACCATGAGTTAAAGGCCATAGGGCAGCCCAAAAAGTCATCTTTTCTCAGAGAAAGTGAAAAGGGAAGAATTGGTCTTCAAAAATCCTGAGATTCCACTTCAACCAACACACCAGCAAACCCGCAAAGAATGCTCTTCCCTAAAGGATTTTAGCGTCCTTTCTCACACTGCTGTACAGATTTGAACTCATGAAACAATCCAGTGAAGAATGAGCAAACCACACCAACCAAAAGTATGAAAAAGACCTAATTCATAACTTCTAAGCTACGTCATGATGAAGGAAGAGGTGACCACAAAATAAATTATCTTGTGAGAGAACAAGATTAAGCTACAAACTTGCAAAAATTTGTTACTATTAAGCCTATGATAACAATAGTCCAAGCAAAAATTTTAACCCAAGAAGGAACTTTCACTTTCCAGAATGAATTGGTAAAAAAGAGTAATATAAAAGTGAGGATTATGGGTAATATGGTGAAAAAAAGTTCAGAAGTATAAATTCATGAAGGATCTAAGATCCAAATCTTTCTATCTGGTTGGTGAGATTAGTGGAGTTCTCTAATAGACTTGTCGATCCTAACATGTCAATGGTTTCTCAATCCAAGGTTTTTGAAAAAAATGTAAAGTCCAAACTATATTCCCTTCAATTGGCTAATTAAATTAGAAGTAGGGACACTATAACCTATGACGTGGATGAGCATAATTTTTCTACTGCGTGTGCATTCCGATAATAGTTGTGTTTTTCAGCATCTTGGACTAGCCATCCCTTAGAATGTTATCGTTAAAAATCATCAACTATTAATGAAATAGATGTAGTAGTGGCTTATTGGGAATCTAGAGTTTCTACTTGATCCAGAATGTATGATGTATATGCCATACAAAGTGATCTATTAACCTGCTGGTAAGTTGTTTAATGACAGTTCCATTTATCACTTTATTGTGAGATGGCATATTGGTCTGTTCTGCCATAAATTCTCCATATTTTACTGAGTGGGATTCGAGATGAGTTTGAGTAAATGTTATGGGATTGGAGATGAGTAAAGTATAAATAATGTGTTAAGTGGGTGGACAAGTGTACTGGGGGAATAGGTCAATATGTGTTATGTGTAAAATGATATGTTAAATGTGGACATAAGCACCGAGGTGCAAGACTTTTTGGGAGGAGATAGAGATGAAGGTTGCTAGGTGTCTTCAGAGTTGGAAGGGGGATCTTTTCTCTTTAGGGGGAAGGTTAATCTTGATCAATGTTTGCCTATTTAGCATACCACTCGATTATCTCTTCCTGTTCAGGATTCCTGCTGGGACAGCTGAGAAGATCGAGGCTAGAATGAGAAATTTTCTATGGGCAGGGGGGGAAGATGAGTGTCGATACCACTCGGTTAGATGGGAGGGAGGCTTAATGTAAATCTAAGTGTTCTATGGGTCTGGGGTATTGAGAATCTTAGATCAAGGAATTTATCCCTACTTGCAAAATCCTCGTGATCAAACTCTCTATGGCATAAGGTGATATATGGTATTTATGGAAGTGATAGGAATGCATGGGAAACTCTTACCAGTAGAACCATGACTCATCAAAGTCCCTGGAAAGCCATTTCCCAAACCTATCCATTGTTTTACCCACTCACCTGTATACAAGTGGAAAATGACTCTAGGACACATTTTTGGAATGATTTGTGGCTGAGGGACCAGACTTTAACCACTAAATTCCCAAGACTATACTAGTTATCTACTAGACATACTACATGCATCTCAAGCTTCATTGTTAAAACTAGTAATAGTCTATCTTGGAACTTCCATTTTAGGCGTAACCTATCTGATAGAGAGACTTTTGATTTGACAACTTTATTGAATTTACTTGAAACTATACACATGACCAACTAACTAGATAGCCGAACTTGGAGCCTTGGATCTTCTGGCTTATTCACTCGCAAATTCTTCTATACTCACCTCATAACAAAACTCAGTGACACAAAATTTCATATTGCCAAGGCGTTTTGGAGATCTAGGGTTCTTTTGAAGGTGAAGGTTTTTTCTTGGACTACTATCAAGCAGAAGCTCAACACTAATGATTTGCTTCAAATCTGGTGCCCCCACCGTACATTCTGAGATGGTGAGACACGCCCATTTATTCTTACACTGCTCTGTGACTTGGAAAATGTGGGTGGATCTTGTCAAAAAGTTTGGCATCACTCGAGTTGTGCTCCTTTACTGTTGATTGCCTTATGAATTCTTGTTCACAAGGGGTGGGCGTGAGGAAAGCTGCTATACCACTGTGGCAAGGGGGCTATTTTCATCGGACTCTGCTGCATTCCGCTTGGAAGAAATAATAAGATTTTCCCCAATCGGTCCTTGTCCTCCGACAAGCTTAGTCAAGAGGCTTTCCTTCATGGCCTTACTCTGGGCTAAAGCTCCTGGTTATGTCTATAAGAGTAGCATCCTGGTGCTCCATCGAAATTGGGATTGTATCATTCTACAGAATATGAGGTGTAAGGTGTTTTACGCATACTTTTTCTTTCTGTTTTTTCCTTTTTTCAAGTATGTTTTATCCTTAATTTGTGAAATTATCTAACTCTTTCCCCTCTTTTTAAAATTACTTCTTCTTTTATAAAAAAATATGGACATGTGTATCGGGAAGAATAACTATAGGTAAGGACAATGGGGTAGGTAATTCTGGAAATAACTTCCAGATACCCGCATTTTCTCTTGTATAACTACATGTTATCTTTTTTGAAAATTTTTAGGGAAGAAGATCCATATATCAGGATCCGTAAATCAGGATCCGTAAATGTAAATAATTGGAAAACTTCCTTTTACTGATCTTAATTCGTATAGAATTTTAGGTCAGGATCTGTGGTCCTAGTTGAGTTGGAGGGAGCTGAATTCATGCTGGTCTAACAGAGTTATTAGACTTAAATATTTTCCTTTTATGATGTTGCCATAAAAAAGGCCAAAGTAGGGATTATCATGTTGGTAATTCTGGGACTTCCTGGAATGTTGCCTATCTTGCAGTCTCAACAATTGGCAAATTGAAGAGATGACTAATGTATCGAGTGTCTTGGATTCTTATTTTCTACTCTCTAATAAAGAGATAAGTTGTTATCAAAGCTGTCTAATAGTGTTTCTTTCTCGTTCAAATGCTATTGTCGTGGTTAGCTTGTATTTTTTTCCCTGAAAGCCCTTATGGAATCACAAAGCTCCTCCTCATATGGCCTTTTTGCATGGGAAGGTTCTTGGGGCCACATTCTTAGCATGGACAATTTGAGAAAGAAAGGGTACATCATTGCTTATTGGTGCTTGCTCTACGAGCTTGACAATGAATCCTGGAACTATCTTCTTCTATGGTGTCCTCCGAGAAGAATATTATGGGATTCAGCTCTCAGCCTCTTGGGTATTTCGTGGGTTGTGAGGGGATCAGTTCAACCAGAACTCTGGAACTCCTAGGCATGAGGTGGTTATTTTGGAACGAAGTGAAGAAGAAGTGTATCTTTCTCATTCCTCATTCCGTCTTCTATTTCATTTGGAAGGAAGTGAGCAAGAGATTTTTGAGGGGAATCAAGTCGAATTTTGCTTCTGTGAAAGATTTTCATTCTCTTTGTATTTTTTTAAAGGGTATTCTCTCTTTTCTGGAGAAGATCCACGGGATATCATTGATTTTTGTCAGATTCCCTTGTTTAGGTTTATTTTGGTGCCTTTGTCTATTAAATACTAAAATACGTATTTGTCTCTAAAAAAAGTGCAGGTGATGATTCAATTAGAGAAATAGATGCTTTTGGATGAATTAAGAGCTGAGTGTGAAGAAATTAATCTTTTAATCAGTGATGCGAAGAATGATAGTGCAAGATAGGAATATCCTAGAGTGGATGTGCTTTACTATTATGAGATATTCATGTACCTTTAATCTTAATGAATCATTAGGATATCTAGCATTATTTAGGAACTATTTAATAGAGTGGTTAGTGGGTTAAGAATTTTATTTATGTTTAGTTAGAAGTCTTCTTTTTTACTATTTTCTTATTAGGAATTCTGGTAATATTAGGCTAGGTAATGAATATATGAGTGATCCTTTCATTATTAAAGAGACTCTTGTAAATAAAAATGTATTGATATTCATTGAATATGGTGCTTAGCAATTCTGTCATTGTGATCG